AAAGAAAAAAAAATGAACAAATTTCTCGCAAAGATACAAATAATACTGCTTACTTCAGTCAAAGGTGGTTTACCTGTTATTTTTGAGATAATGAATTGTCAGCTCAAGAGTGCAGAGTATATAACAACTAGAGAATGCAATTCCTGAAGAAATTGCAAGTGGGAATGCTTTATGCTGAAAATCTGACGCTAAAGTGCTATGCTGAAATGTAATGTGTAAGAAGAAAGTGAAGAATTTAGATTGAAATTATACATTGGGGGCTTGAATGTGTGATGAGAGAAGAAAAGAAAGTAAAAAGGCTTGGAAAAGCAACAGAATATTTGAACTGCAAACTTTTGAACTAACTTGATGGCGAATGATCTGTCGCCATGCCAACGGCATTTGATGACATCCCATAATACGCTTCAGTGTTTCCCCTAGGTTTACTGCTTTGGGGGGGTGCTGCCTGAGCGTGGGGGGGAGGGGGGGGGGGGGTATTGGGATATCTTTTTTTAATTCCTCTGGAGCAGAGAGAGGAGCTGTGGATTATTGTTATTGTTATTGATTAACTTAAAATGAAAACGTTTAATTTATTTAATAAAAGAGCACATGTTCAATGTGAAAAGTGACAGTAGATATAGATTAGTTGCAATTTGGTGCTATATATATATATTAAAACAATTAAAAAATAATAATAATAATACTTTTTTTTTTTTTTAAAACACCTTGAATTTCAGGGGGGGCTCCGTTACAGGTTTGGTAATGATGCAGCCATCAACGCATCTAAGCGTATAATGGGGTGTCATCAAATGCCGTTGCCATGGCGACAGACCACTCACCATGAAACACGATGTCGCTGTAAGTCCAATGGACCCGGTCCAATCGTCCCCCAATCTTCACTTGTATATCACCGGTCCATGCCTCAACAGCTCTACGCCAAATCTGAGATCTCACCATATGCTGTTTCCATGGAAACGCATCCCTCCAAGACAATGGTAGGGGAAGCACTGCGCTTAGATGCATTGATGGCTGCATCGTTACCAAACCTGTGAAGTTTTGGGCCATTTGGAGCATTTTCACTGAAGTTATGAGAAAACCGTGTTTCATGGCGGGCATTGTGTTGCCATGGCAACGGCATGTCCCGTAGATGTCTTCACGACTGGACTGTTAGCACACATGTGAAGTTTGAGCACTTTTTGAACATTTTCATAGGAGTTTGCGACATCGTGTTTTATGGTGAGGGATGCGTTTCCATGGAAACGGCATATGGTGAGATCTCAGATTTGGCGTAGAGCTGTTGAGGCAAGTCCATTGGACTTACAGCGACATCGTGTTTCATGGCGAGTGGTCTGTCGCCATGGCAACGGCATTTGATGACACCCCATAATACGCTTAGATGCGTTGATGGCTGCATCGTTACCAAACCTGTGAAGTTTTGGGCCGTTTGGAGCATTTTCACTGAAGTTATGAGAAAACGGTGTTTCATGGCGAGCATTGTGTTGCCATGGCAACGGCATTTGAAGAAATCTCAAAACTGTCCCGTAGATGTCTTCATGGCTGGACTGTTAGCACACATGTGAAGTTTGAGCACTTTTTGAACATTTTCATAGGTGTTAATGTATAGCGACATCGTCTTTTATGACGAGGGATGCGTTTCCATGGAAACGGCATATGATGACACCCCATAATTGACGTAGAGCTGTTGAGGGCATGTCAGTTGGAGTTATGACATCATCGTGTTCCATGACACAGGTGTTTATAGTTGAGCTAACGAGGTGTCCAGAGATCAAAGGTTTCCATTGTTCTGAATGAGAGATGAACCTCTTACATGTGAACGTTTTGTTGAAGAACCGTAACAGATATCGGTGAAATTTCAAAGCGTGAAGCATCTCAAGGACCTTGAGTATCTGAAGTGTGCTTTTTGTGTACTTTCAGGTCAATAATGTGGCCTTTTTGGCAGATTAACTAAAGGTGTGCGGCTGCTGCTGTGAGGAAATATCAGCCTGAAATTACAATGGGCTTTAATGGAGACATGTTGAACGTTTATGTCACTTCATGCCCTCAAGAGACATTTTGTTTAATTATTTTTTGCTTAATTATTTGTCATTTTTCAAGCTACGATATGTTTTCCTACGTTTGTCATGAAAAATTATGTCTCAGGAATGTAGGGTTTGGGAATTATGGTAGTTTTAAAAAGAATATGAAGGCACATTTCAAGATTTCCTACACTCTAGCTGTGACATCACGCACTCTAGTTAATGTTAAAATCTGAAGAAGGCCTCTGTACCAAGGTCTGAACAATGTTTAATATTTATAAAAGTATGAATCTGATTTAAAAGTTGTTTAATATGAATAATGTCAGAAAGATGTGTAACATTTTAAAGTTGGAATGAGGTTTCTGATTGAAAGTATGAAGGAACCGTTAGCAGTTGAAGTCGCATGAAGATTTGTTCAAGTCTGAAGATTTTCTCCATTGACTTCAATGGTTACAAATGTGATGAATTATGGGATATATCTCGGAAATTATGAAAGTTATGAATGAGAAAAGTAATAGCAATCGATTCCCGACCGAGCTGAACGTTTTGATGTTTGAACGGAGTTTGTGCGATGTGGAATGTGGGAGAAGAAGAGGGCCAAAATAACAGGCGGAATAATAAAGAATTTTGTGCGTAGAAGAACAGATAGTTGGAATGCTGTTAACAGCATTCCCACTAAAATATGATACAAAGGGGCTAATACACACTCATAACAATATAGAGGCATCATTATTGAATTGAGACTATTTCAAAACCAGTTTAAACTCATTGTCTAGACTAGACTTTTCTATTACTAGATGCATCACTCTAGTTTCATTTGATACACAGAAGCATTCTCCCTCAATGCACTCTCAAATTACATCTTGGGGATATAAGATCCTCATCAAGACTGTTTTTTCTCTTGTGATGGTGTGTGTGAGCACCACCGGGATAAACTAAAATACCACTTGACCAACCAGCCTAATATCTGTTGTGCTCAATTATGACTGCATGTTCAAGGACCTCTCCTTGCTGTGGTTATGTACTAGTTTAAAACATTTTTGACTGTTATTGACTCCTGATTCACCCATCCCTAACTCGCCAGTAGAGGCCGCTGCTTCACTGTTATGGAGAGATTGGTGACTAACAGCTAAATTGACAATATACTGTATATCAGACTGTTGTCTTTTTTAAACTAATAATGAAGTGATGTGCCTCTGAAGAACAAAACAATGTTAGTTTATTTGGATTTTTCTATTATACCAAAGGAACTTAAACAAACAGTGGTTAACTGAGATATAATCTGGATTTTATTTAAATGTATTATTTTTTCTCGAGGCTTACAAACAAAAAAAGCCTATTCATTTCCTTAACATTTTTATGTTGTTTATTTGGCCACCGACAACACACAACTCTAGATAATAACAATAGTAGAGTAACAGTATGTGAGACGATATGTCGGTTTTGGTCAACAATGTAAACTATCAAGAATTCTATATTGATTTACTTTTGTAAAAAAAATGGTATCCAACATTTACTCGTTCAAGTCTCAATTTATGTAGTTGTTTAATCCAAAAAAGCTGTATTGCTCGAGCATACTGTAATAGCATACTCTATTGTTAATTGCACAGTCAGTATGAAGTAAAAATAGATTGAGTAGGCAGTACGTTAGAAAGCACTTTTAAAAACACATTTTACCAGCCATGACAGTGACTTGGTTTTTTGTGCAATGCAAAATGTTCTCCTGGAGGTACCTACTGGAGTGTGAACACAAAGAGGGTTTAGAGCAGGGGTAGCCAACACGGTGCCCGCGGGCACTTGGTCGCCCGCAGGGGCAACGTGAGTCGCCCGCGGGGCATGTTCTGAAAATAGCTCGCCAAGCAAATCCAAAATGTATAAAATACACAAAACAAAAAAGGAAATGTAATTAAAAGAATCTACCCTATGCATAAACAAAACCTAAATCATAGCGAACTCTATCTACTTACTACAACTCTATATCTATCTAACACCCCTCCTCCCCCCACCCCCCACAATGAGTATCGACCAATCACGTTCTTGCTTGATTTGCGGGACCAGCGTTGCAGTCGGGAAGAAAAGCAATGTGGCACCTCCCCGCTGATTTCCCTTCTGGCAGAATCTACACAACACATCAGCCCCATTGAACACAGCCTAGTCGTGCCAGCCTATACAACACATGAGGGGTAGAGTTCTGTGTGTGTGTTGCAACTTGCATATATATTTATTGCACTTGACGCACACACACGCATGGCGTAATTTCCACTGGGGACATGTCCCCCGCTCTTTTCGAAATCCCGTTTGTGTCCCCCCACTTTACAAATATGTTTATTATTATTTTTTAACGCAAGCCGTCATCGCCACGGAGGAGCACACAGCCTCTGTGAGCGAGCGAGACAGAGGGAGAGAGAGAGAGCGAGCGAGCAAGAGAGCTAGGGAGGGAGGGAGGGAGAGAGAGAGAGAGAGAGCTAGGGAGAGCACACCTTTATCTATTTAATATAGATAAAGTAAGTAATCATTCCAATGTGTACTATAGGACAGTAAAAAAAAACAAAAAACAGTTTAAAGGGCAGTGATTAGTAAAATAAGCATAAATAAAAGGAAAGAATGCTAACTAGGTAACATAAGATAAGAATAAACCAGTTTAAATGATTTGTTATTGGTTGTGATCATATTCTAAAGATGTTTGGATTATTGAAAAGTATACAGCTCCCTTTCATCTGAGTGTTGAGAGCTGCATCAATTCATGTTGTGCTCAAAGTGCTCCAGATTGATGCATTTCACTTAACATGCCCCCGGACCCCCCTAGAGGAGGTGAGGCCCGTCCACCCCCAAATAAAGCAGGTTAAAATAATTAAATTGCATACATGTTATTTTAGTAAACACTGAAAATGGGTCCCACAGACCCAAACAGCACACAAAGGTTAAAGGTCAGCATATCATAATGTTAAAATGTGCTAAATATATACACTGCAAAAAACAAACAAAAGAGGAGTAAAAGTAGCCCCCGACTTGTTTTATTTTTTGAAAGTAGCCCTCACCCTAAAAGGTTGGTGACCCCTGGTTTAGAGTATCATTACAGAGAGGAATGACTTAATTATTTCCATTAAGTGTTTTTAAATCCCATACAAATTTACATTTCACATCTTTCATTTTGTCTTTGTAAACAGAATCAAAGTACGCTGCTTCTGCCACTGTTAGTTGGTTTTCCCAGTCTCCAGCAATTCCTGAAACACAGCATGGAGAAAAAAAGGAATCAGATCATTTGAAGGAAAGGTATGTGAAACTGTTGAAACAAGTTTTCCTCGTGTCTTTCAGCGGAATGCCTCTGAATCATAAGGGAATAGAAAGGAACTGGAGCACATGACTGAACTGCAGCCTTTTTATTACGTAACTGTGTCTTCATCAGAGTTTAAATAGACAAAGACAAACATATCAACCACTGGTTTTTGTTGTATTTATTTGTATTCATAAAAAAAAGGGAATTGCACCTATCAATGTTTTCAATCAAATACAGATACAGATAATACCAGGCTGAAGGCATTGCTGTATAAGTGTTTGTCATTATAAACATCATGTTTTGGAGGAACATTTCACCTTGTTGAAGAAATTAGTTTAAATTGTCTAAAAAATGTAAATGAATGCCACATGTAATGCGTTTGAGTTATATCAGGCTATATGCAGGAATTCTGAAGTCACATGTAATCCCTTTTAAGACCTTTTTTAAGACCCTTTCCATACATTTTAAGACCTCATCGCCACTTGGAGTTTTAATCGGTTACCTTGGCGACACACTTTACCTCACATTGACTATATACAGTATTGATTGTCCTTCCTCCTTATCTTCCAACCATTTGGACGCAGACTTGCATTTCCCCATAACGATGTTGTTTAACAACCGGCGTAAACGGGCCTTCGCGCTATCAAGCAGTGAGCGTGCGATGTCCTGTTCAGATGACGTCAGATCCAACGGGATGCCATAAATAAACTACACAGAATCACACTACACACCTACGCAATGATTACATTCAGGCAGACTGTAGAATACAACCTCTATGGACAATTCATATACTTATTGAAAACAAGCTACAACATGTAATACCTTGGAAAATGCCCTTTAATACTTTTTAATACTTTTTAATAGCCTTAATTTTCGCAAAATTGATTTATCTACTTTTAATACTTTTTAAGACCCCGCGGACACCCTGTATATTGTATTTGGTTGTCATTTCGATTATGTGATAATACAGACAAAACAACATTTAGTTTGGCTCTTCTCTTTATAGATCCAAATTGATAATACTGGAATTAAATGCGTACTGTATGTATTCATTATTAACACTCACCTTTCCTGAGAAACTCAGACTTTGTCTGGTCCATGAATTCACGAGGAACCGCAGAGTAGTTTGACATGTTGTTGTTCTTCATGTTCTTGAACAAACATCGGTCGGCTATCTTCTCTATCACCTCAGGGTCCAGAGATTTATTCAGGAACTGAGCGAGTCTGCTCACAGAGTCCTTCAGGTCCTGCAGAGAAACAGATAAGCTCTTAGTCCTGCAATGACTCTCACAGTATACAGACTGTATTCTTGTAAGGATTTGAGGATTGTTCCTGAGTCTCACCAATATCATCTCTTCATAGGAGATGTGCATGATGTGCTCTTTATCCTCAGCATTCAGCCAACTCTTCACATGGTCAAACCATGAGCCAAACATAACTGTAAAGCAAAGAAGACATTCTTTTTTCAAGTATTCAATTATTATGAATAATTATAACCATAACTATAATTGTAACTCTCCAAGAAATAAGGGTCAGCATTTCATCTCTACTACTGATATCAAAGTAATAATACTAACTAACAGCAGTAAAAGATTACATAAACATATCAAACGTGCTGAAATTCTGAGAGCTGGTAAAAAATAATATTTGTATAATTTAATTATAATATTTGTTGTCTCATTCAGTATTATTCAGTGCCAAATGTTATGTGCTAGGTGCCTGGCCCTATGAGGCTAAGTTATAATTATTGTTTACATTGTCAATGTTAATTATCTTCATGTTAATTTCAAAAGGTGTTATGTCAAATGGTATATTGATGATATTGTTTTGACTATGTTTATTTTAAGACCTTTGTCACTTTTCTAGCATTCAGATATCTTATTTCAATCATTCTTATTTCAAGATGTTTCATTAAGTTGAATTATTTCATTGTACTGGCAGATTATCACACTTGTTTCAAATCTGTATCTACTCAAATAACATTTCTTGTTAGGGTTTTAGCAGTGAGCAAGAATATGTAAAATAATCAAGACTGCTGAAAATCTGAGAGCAGGTCAGATAATAACACTGCTATATTCCAATCTTCACATGTGGCATCAGCCCATTTGAGCACTTTTGACCAAAAAAGAATCAAACTGAACATGGACCTAGGTGTATTGTAGCCACTCAAAGCAGCTCTCTTTCTTTGTCCCCCTCATGTTCAAAACTATAATTCTTGCCATATCTTACACATTGCATCTTTAATAAATATGAATAGCATTATAGGGCGCGTTCACACCGGAGTACTTTTACCCGTACTTTTCCCGTTTAGTTCCGATAGTGCCTGGAATTTTGCGTTCACACCAAAAAGAGTACTTAGTTCCGAGAACTTTTACCCCCATCTTTAGTGCCTGCTAGAGAGGTGGGACTATCCTGGGGAGAAAAAAGTACCAATTTCGATTGGCTGGGCGAATTGCAAACCATGCCCCGTAAAACTCTGAAAAGTTTTGTGAAGCCGCCATTGTATTTGCTGGCATTAGCATTATTAGCATTAGCCCCGCGCACCAACGGAGAGAGACTAACTTATGGCAACACAAAAAAAAACATGGGAGCGGTGGAGATGAGGAGGTGTCGGCGTTCTGGCGATTTACTCAGAAGGCTTCAGTAGAAGCCAGTCCCCAACTCCGGGGACTTCCAGCCGGGGACTTCGGGTGGCAGTGTACGCCGTGAAGTTGTTTGCGGCCTGCCAGTAAACCCAAAGCAGAAGAAGAAGAAGAAGTGACGTCAGCGGCTTCATTTACGTAATCTTCCCTCAGGGAACTTATTCCGGTGTGAACGCGATCTGTACTTAGTTCCATGGGGGTACTAAGTGCTGGGCACTAAGTGCTGGGCACTAATGGCGCATTTCCATTGCAGCGCGTAGCTCGCTTTAAGCGTGCCGTGTCGTGCCGTCCCCTTTTTTGGTTGTGCTTCCACTAGGCCTCGTTCCGGCGCGGGGCCACTTTTTCCCCTCTTTTCTGGCCCTAGAAAATTGTGGTTCTATCGGGGCCAACAAACAGGGCTGAGTCGGGCTGAGTATGCTAAACTAGAGAGAGGAGCGCTGGCAAGAGGGCTAGAACTACAACAAGATGGACATATTTGACCGTGATTTAATTGTAATACACGTTTCAAAATGATGCCGAAGTAACAACATACTGATACCGGTTAGTAAAAACCATGAATTAATGCTTTGTCAAGTCTGCAGACAGACGGCAGGCGAAAAACCTTTTAAAATTCGTGTTTTTCTAGATGGAGATTGGCTAAGCTAACGCAGTATATGCCCCGACCGTCCACACTCACAACAACGGCCTATACAGACATAAATTAAGCAGCGACTGTATTCACCATGACACAGGCAGTCTGTGGTGTGTACTTGTTTAACTTTTGTCGAGTTTCTGAACATATATAAGGAGCTGTGAGCTCTGAGTGCTCACAGCTAACGGCTGTGTTGTGTTTCTGGATTTCTCATTGAAGATGACGTCACGGCTCCGCCTACACTGCGTTACTACCCAGTTCCTAAACTGTAATGGAAGCGCAGCATGAAGTGAGTCGGCCCTGTTAAGGCCCAACGCGGCCAAGCCGTACCGAGCCGTACCGAGTGTGGCCGAGGCCGACCGTGTAGTGGAAATGCGCCATAAGTGCGGCAAAGTACTTGGTGTGAAAGCGGCTAGTGGTGACAAGTGACAACAACCTTTTCCATCAAGGAACTTGTGGAGGAACTCGGTCTGTGGGCCTGGGTTTACCAGGAAGGAAGCCGTCATATGATAAAAAAAGGTAGATACAAACACATCTTTGGGGTTCCTCATCACATAGATGACCTGCAGAGATAATACAACATCCATTAATTAAATGATGGATCTATGAAGACACTTTTCTTCAAACAAACTGTGTGTGATATTTTAATCTGTTCCGTTAAGAATTTCCTCATAGCATTCATGGCTCATTTACTGCCTAGACAAAAAGTACATGATCTTTGACGGCTGTGTCAAAAAAGACGACGCTGTCTGTTGGAGCTATATATTATTTAATAGTTTAACATTTGTTTTCTTGTTGTTTTTGTGTATAGTAAATGTTCTATTATTTAGTGATATTATTGTAGTTAGTTAAAGTAGTTTTATGCTTTTATTTTGAAGGCATCTTTGGGCACTGGGTGATTAGGGCACCTGGTATAATTGTATATATTGGAGACAGGTGGTGGTGGGAGCCAGAGCACTAGTAGAGCATAACTTTTCTATCAGGGCGATTCAAGCAAGCAAGAAAGAAAGCCATAGGGAAAGCTTAAGGAAAATAAACCTGTTCATTGTACCTTTGTGATAGGAATAAAATGCACAGAACTGGTGATCTTGTCTGGACTTGGATAATTCCCTGCGTAAGATTCGCTATCTGGTGCCTCAGCGTAGGACTGCTCGATTATGGCAAAAATCATAATCTCGATTATTTGGGTCAATAATTGATATCACGATTATTAAAAACGATTATCCATTTACTTTGAAAACATCAATTTATTGGAGAAAAAATGTTTTAACAGTATGTTTTTAACAGTTGACTACCCTGAACTTTAAGTATAATTCAACTGAAAAACCAATTAAAAAAATAATTAATTAAAAAAAAAAGAAAAAGAAAATTAATAATAATAATAAAAACATAATCGTTTTATTTCGATTACGTTGTTTTCGTAATCGTTGCAAGCCATAATCGTAATTGCGATTAAAATACGATTAATTGAGCAGCCCTACCTCAGCGGCAATCATACTTTTAAACTATGATTTTGGCCACTACACTGTCCAAGGTACGGATCATTTTAGACTCTGGGTGCGTCTCACTTCGGTTAGTTTTCATTTCCTCGCTCCTCGGGCTCGGTATCACCGGAAGTTGATTTGTCTGCGCCATCTTGAGTAGCGTCCCAGTGGCCTTATTTTTGCCGGAGGACCGAGGAGTGATAACGGAGGAGCGATAATCGAGGAACTACCAGACCATCCTCCTGTGAAATCCTCAGACACTCGCCCCGCCCCCTTACTGTGTATCGCTCACTGATTGGACGATGCAGCGCATGCACTGATCTGGCTGCTGTCAGACGATCAGCTGTGCGGCGTCATCACAAACGGACGTCGCTTCACGTGACGCTCCGGAGAAAACGACGTCCCATTGCTCTTAAAACTCATTTCCCTGCTTCTCGTGGTTTCCTTGCGTCTCTCCATGCTTCCCTGGTGGGAGGGACTAGTCGCAGGGAAACTACACAAGTGAGGGGCGCAAGGAATCCATTTAACCGAAGTGAGATGCAGCCTATGTGTCCCACCCACTCCATGACATCCTGGTCAGGCAAACCTAAATTAAAGAGTCATTTCACGAAGATGCACCACAGAGCGCCACAGGAAGTCCATCAGACTGAGCGTCAGGCCCTCTGAGTCAATCTGGCACCTGACTTGTTATCTTTAATTGGACATTTCACTTTAATTCTGATGGTTATATATCTTGTTTATTTGTTATTGGACATTTTACTTTAATTCTTAAATATCATATTTGATCTTTTATTGGACATTTAACTTTGGTTCTTATATGTGCTATTTGATATTTTATTGGACATTTTACTTTCATTCTTATCCTATTTTATCTTTTAAAACCATTGTCGCCCTGAGATTATATAAGTATTTCCGATTCTGATACCTTGGGCTTCACTTCAAAGAAGGATGGAGGCATCATGTTGTACGGGGAGTGTGTGGTTAACATTCGTGGAGACGCCCTCTGTTCAAGGTTAAATGTGCAGGCCTGAATTTCCTCCAGCCAGGGAACACGTTCCCAGTTAGGAAGAGTCTCCACAGATGCTGGATCTCCTCCACTCATGATCAGAGGGACAATCTCCTGCGTCCATGTCGTACCTAAACAAAGAAAACAAGAGGTAAATGCACAGGTATAGTTACATTAATAAAAAGTTAATCATCCTTTTTTTGTTTAACATTGTTTTTTGGGCTATAATGCTTGATTTGACAGTGGAGACAGACAGAAAATGTAGAAGAGGGTAAAAGAATGACACAGCGAATTTTCAGACAAGCCAGCACTTGAACTGTGGATGATTATGTTGGCCTTCTGAAATAAGTGCTGCTGAGATGTAATATTACAATAATAACTGGGGAATTAAATGAAATGCATAAACTGTACATGAAAGTTCATGAAAATGATGAAGCACATATTAAAAGGAAAACAAAGAAGGGTGTTTGAGGGCAACATTTTCTGTCTTTTTCTTAGAATCACGTTAAAGGGGACCTATCATGCAAAATGCACTTTTGTACGTCTTTTATACATGAATATGTGTCCCCGGTGTTCCAGGGAACTCACCAAGTGTCAGAAAACACAACCCTCTCTCTTTTCCTCCATACCCAAATCTCTAAAAAAGGGGCTGCAACGGATCTGATAAAAACTGATCCAGATTTGAACACTTCACTGACGTCACAGAAGTGGCGCTACGGCTATTGGGCCAACTCTCCACCTATCAGGGGAATGTGGGGTTGGGCCACGGCCGGCCATTGCCGCTCGAAAGCGCTGGAGACGCTGTAGTACATATGCCAGGCCTGTAAGTGGCGCTGTAGTCTGCCACAAAAGCAGCGAAGAAGACTTCCCGCCCATAGTTACCATGGTTACCCTTCTGTTTATTCTCCGCTGTGGCTTTTTTCTCCCTCCCCGAGGCAAGGGTTTGCTCCCGTTGCTTTAATTCAATGCAATCCCTCCCCGTCGAGGCAAGCACTGTAATTCTCTCCGGTTAGTCCACCAGCAGATGACAAACACCCACCTCTCCGCCTCTTCCAAGGAACGAGGGGACCGTGCGGCAGAGTTTCAGTTTCAGTTTCTTTCGCCGGTCAAGATGTCCGTTAAAGTTTAAATCTTCCGGACAAAATTAGAAAAGTGCCGGTCAAAGGTCTTCTTTGTTATTTATTGAGCTTTAAAACAAATGAATAACGACTCTATAGGCCTATAATAATATAATAAAACACGGAGGACGGAGATCTTTTTTTCAACCCCTCTTGACTTGATCAGAGCACGGCTCCCCTCTCCTGCAGGGGGGCGTGGTCAGCTGCAGCTCACAGAATCAGCCCCGTAGACAGCAAACAGCACATAGAGCGAAATGAGGCATGGCTAAATTGCATGATCTGTTTGGTATTTTGAAAACAGAAATGTATAAATATACCTTATATAGGTATGGCCCTACAATATATCATTTAAATATAGCATGATAGGTCCACTTTAATATTTTTTGGCTGATATAAGTTGGCTCCCCTTTTATTTCTTGGCAGTCAGGCTGCACCTTTTTGTTCCCCTCAGGCCAGCAGTAGAGACAGAGGAAGCAGAAAATAATGCTACTCAAATAGTGAGGAACAAAGTACACCTACAATATGTAGCTTAAAGCACAGCAGACGTTATGTGTTCCAGGTGCTGATAGTTGTTTTGATTTTTTTTTAAAGCTACCTTTTTCCACATACTGCCATTATGCACTGGTGTAAGAAGCTAAGTACATTTACTCAAGTGCTGTACAGTTTTGAGGCTTTACTTGAGTATTTCAATTTGTTGCCACTTTGTACTTCTACCTCAGATGTAAATAGTGTACTTTTCCTCCACTACATTTATTTATTACCTTTAGTTACTTTGCCGATTTGGATCAAAAACAACTCTTAAAATCAGACTTTAGTTCCACCTGGAGTAAATTCACAAGCTACCCTGCAGTATACAAAGTCATTAAAACTAGCTGCACTTTTACCAGCTTTGAGAACACTTTAATGATCAATAATGATAACACATATATTATTCTGAAATGGACCAATCTGCACAATGACTACTTTTACTTTTGGTACTTTAACTATGTTTTGATTCTTATACTTTTGTATTTTTACTTGAGTAACTTTTTGAAATCACAACTTTTCTCTCTGGTTCTTCCTCTTTGACTCAAGTACACGGTCTGAGTACTTCTCCCTCCTCTGCCTTTATGTAACTAGACTTTTATGATCAAATGGGTATAACGAGAAAGTTAGTCCAAACAATTCAAGTAGCCTAGAGTAAGCGACTTACAAAGTGTAATGTTCTGGTTACATGTGAATAAAAGCGAGTCGAACACACCTTTAACTATGTTTCGGGAGCCGACATCTTGTCCAAGAAAAAAGGGTGTTTACCATGACAAGTACACGTTACTTTTCTATGTGACGTCTTTAAACTGAAATAGATTCCAAACGGTAGTATTGAATACATGGTGCCCACTGATCAATTTAGCGTGACAACTGACCTGACTTGGGATACGTTACAATGATGATATCGTCAGGGCGAAAAACAAACTCTTCAAAGTATTTCAGACTCTCTGGCGTGTGCAGCAAGGAGGGCACGAGGAGCCCCTTGTACACCGAGTACATCTCTGCCTCAGTCATACTCCTAGAAACTTCTTAAAAAGAGCAAATGTATACCAAATACAGTCTATAAAGGCTTCTCAGGCCCAATCCCAAACCGCCCCCTACACCCTACCCCTACACACTATCCCTCCGATTGCGCGTTCGCGCGGAGGGTCCGCCACATTAAGTGCTGTTCCAAACCAACGAGTGTGGAGAGGTGTGGAGGGGGAGTGGGTTATCAAGCCCTCAAACAGCGAGTCTGCAGCGGTACTGACTGGAGACCGGGGGTCCTTCTCAGGTCGACTATTTTCATTTCCTCGGTCCTCGGTCCTCGGTATCACCGGAAGTTGATTTGTCTGCGCCATCTTGAGTAGCGTCCCATGGCTCTTATTTCTGCCGGAGGACCGAGGATCGAGGAGCGAGGAGCGATAATGGAGGAGCGATAACCGAGGAACCACCAGACCATCCTCCGGTGAAATCCTCAGACACTCGCCCCGCCCCCTTACTGTGTATCGCTCACTGATTGGACGATGCAGCGCATGCACTGATCTGATGCTTCTTGACATGAGAGCAGAGTTTCCCAGCGGAGTGAAGAAAACACATGAAACTCACGGGACTCACTCCTCAGTTTATACTGTGTTTTGTTTCAATGAATGCATCATTCAGTTACAAATATGTGATATATCTGAACAACAAAGTGGTCAAAAATTATTTTATTCATTTATTGGAAACATTTTCATGATCGCTTTTTCGTTTTACATTTTCATTTATTGTCATTTCCATTCAGTCAGTCAGTCATTAAGTGCTATTTAACATGTTAATTTGCTACATATCCACACAAACAAAGTGTGCAATCCAATGATTAATGAATGTTAATCTAACTGGGTTTTGATAGATAACATATCTCTTTTTCTTCTCTGAATTATTTTATTTCTATTGTGCACTCTAATCAATATTAATCCAACTATTGTTCGTTTATACATTTTAAGAATGGCGTTTATCTTTTTTGAGAATGAGTTCTTATTTTATTTAATGTATTTGGGTCTACAACAGATGATACAAATGTTTGTGTCAGTAAATGTGTACTAACAGAGGCGAGGGTGTTCGTGAAAATAACGGGGACAGAGCTGCTGTCAGACGAACAGCTGTGCGGTGTCATCACAAACGGACGTCGCTTCACGTGACGCTCCGGAAGAAAGGACGTGCCATTGCTCTAAACTCATTTCCCTGCTTCTCGTGGTTTCCTTGCGTCTCTCCATGCTTCCCTGGTGGGAGGGACTAAACGCAGGGACACGACGCAAGTGAGGGGCGCAAGGATTCCATTTAATCGACCTGAGAAGGACCCCGGGGCTGCGTTTCACTTCTCTTATTTTTCATTTCCTCGCTCCTCGGTCTCGGTCTCACCGGAAGTTGATTTGTCTGCGCCATCTTGAGTAGCGTCCCAATGGCCTTATTTTTGCCGGAGGACCGAGGAGCGAGGAGCGAGGAGCGATAACGGAGGAGCTATAATCGAGGAACCACCAGACCATCCTTCGATGAAATCCTCAGACACTCGCCCCGCCCCCTTACTGTGTATCGCTCACTGATTGGACGATGCAGCGCATGCACTGATCTGATGCTTCTTGACATGAGAGCAGTTTCCCAGCGGAGTGAAGAAAACACATGAAACTCACGGGACTCACTCCTCAGTTCATACCGTGTTTTGTTTCAATTAATGTATCATTCAGTTACAAATATGTGATATATCTGAACAACAAAGTGGTCAAAAATCATTTTATTCATTTATTGGAAACATTTTCATGATTGCTTTTTTCAGGGTTCGAGTTATAAACTGAGCTCTATGGGGGTCTTTGAAACTAATGCGCACACACACACACACACACACACACACACACACACACACACACACACACACACACACACACCAATAATAAACATATGGACAGGGGTTACTATTTAAAAAAAATTGCAAATGTATTTGGGAACCTATCCATGTGAACATATTTTGGGGGTGGACCTCAAATCCTCTAGGGGGGTCCGGGGGCATGCCCCCCCTGGTAAGATATTTTTTTAATTTTGGAGTTAAATGCATCAATCTGGTGCATTTTGAGGGGAAAATAAAGAGACTAGATCTATGGAAACACCCATATGAAACAGATGCCACATCATGTAGACAGACAGTCACCCTGTGTGAGGCAAACCCACATTTGCGCAGCGTTGCGTTCACAATAGCCTACATTAAGGCCATCGGGAAACCTCCCGGCCCTCCCGATGGCCAGTCTGGGCCTGCCAGCAGCCCTCTACTCGCTACAAACTTAAATATGAAAACATAGCCGTGGGAACATGTTTCAAATGGGAGGTGCTGTGGGGATGACACCAGGGCCGGTTCTGACCAATTTGCTGCCCTAGGCAAGATTTTTGCTGGTTCATTTATATCTTATTTTATCAGTTAACATTTATTTATTCATCCATATTTTTTAATCTCTCCAGTTTTAAAGGAGACTATAACTATGTAAATGTATCCTGTAAATATAATGTATGATTTCCTTTATTGTTTTATGTTTCATGTGGAACCTATATGCTGCAGGTCTCCCTTGAAAAAGAGATCTATGATCTCAATGGGACCAATCTGGTTAAATAAAGGTTTGAAATGAAATGAAATGACATTGGAATGATTTCAAACCTGTTTTTATTTATCCTAATAATTATAAAGGTGTGCCTTGGAAATATTTGTTTACATAAATTGTGATAAAACCGTTTGAGACACACTGAGATAACTTAGACTAAAGTGAACTATCTAAACACTCAGAGTCCTTTACCTCACTGAGCCTCTCAGGGCAAATGGAAAATGTAACCGGGGTGAAAAGGGTGTTATCTTTACTTAATTATGAATGTGAACATCAAGGCCGAAAATTATTATTTTTTGTATTATATTTGTATTATATTTCCATTTAATCTTGTGGACGTGCAGATTCCCTGTCCTCCATCAGGGGGTGCTGCAAGCACCCTCAGCACCCCTACTTACCACGGCCCTGTATGAAAAGGTTCAACTACGCACACACACATGATCTCGGCTCGCGCAGCACGCTCACAGGCATAGATTGTGCAAGAGGTGCAGTGCAGGCATATTGTTATTCAAGAGATGCGTTGTTCTTTTGGAAAACATGTTTTTCTTTTCAATAATACTCATTACATTGACACATGCATTATTTGTGATTAAAATAATGGTTGTTGGTAATGTATTAGCGACCCCCACAGATGTATGATTTCACTGCGTCCGTGGGAGCTCAGACCCCTCCTTATGGGAGCTCAGCTCCCATTGGCTCCCACATAACTCGAACCCTGGCTTTTTTCATTTAACATTTTCATTTATTGTCATTTCCATTCAGTCAGTCATTAAGTGCTATTTAAAATGTTAATTTGCTACATATCCACACAAACAAACAAAGTGTGCAATCCAATGAATGTTAATCTAACTGGGTTTTGATAGATAACATATCTCTTTTTCTTCTCTCAATTATTTTATTTCTATTGTGCACTCTAATCAATATTAATCCAACTATTGTTCGTTTATACATTTTAAGAATGGCGTTTATCTTTTTTGAGAATGAGTTCTTATTTTATTTTATTTATTTGGGTCTACAACAGATGATACAAATGTTTGTGTCAGTAAATGTGTACTAACAGAGGCGGGTGTGTGTGTGAAGAGCTGGTTGCTGTCAGACGATCAGCTGTGCAGCGTCATCACAAACGGACATCGCTTCACGTGACGCTCCGGAGGAAAGGATGTCCCATTGCTCTTAAAACTCATTTCCCTGCTTCTCGTGGTTTCCTTGCGTCTCTCCATGCTTCCCTGGTGGGAGGGACTAAACGCAGGGAAACAACGCAAGTGAGGGACGCAAGGAATCCATTTAACCGAAGTGAAACGCAGCCCAGTTGTATCTACCTGACCGGAGTCAAGCTGTGTGTGTCCGTCAGGAAACACTGGCCGTTTCTCAATCGCGAGGATATTGGCTTCCAAGCCAATATTTCAAGGATGCTACGTCATCGAGTGCTGCCGAAGGACTGTTCCAATCTCCAGCATACTTGGAATTCCACCGAGGCCGCGTCCTTGGTTTGGGGGAAATTTCGAGGCTGCACATGGGTAAACTTCGCGTCCTTAAAATCCCCACAATGCTTTGCGCATGGACCAATTTCCCCAAATCTGGCGGAAGATGTAAGGCGGGGCCTCTCATATGACGCACACCTGCACACTTGCTAGCCTGTTCCACTCTTCGTTTTCCGAATGCCAGGAAGTATTCTTGCCTTGCTTCTGAAGCAAGATGCTCGGCTCGGCTGTGCTACCAAGCCAGCATCCTCGCGATTGAGAAACGGCCACGCTGTTTACAAACAGTTCTTCTTCTTCTTCTTCTTCTTCTTCTTCTTCTTCTCTTCGTTTTTGGCGGATTGCAAACAACTTAAAAGGTGCATACCGCCACCTACTGTACATGAGTATGAATCATCATATCATACCAACTCTTTAACCTATGATCTAATAAAAATAAATAAATAAATCAACAAAAAAAACATGAAATAAATAAAACAAAAATAAAAATCTATGTTCTTTCCTGACCTAATGTTAAATAATTGTTCCTATCCCAGTTTCACTCAAGAATGTAAACAGTGCCTTTCTGGTAGCTCTTACTCCCTCTCCTTTTGTTGCCAAAACACCAACCACACTCCACTCCCTCTCTGCCTCTAAAACTTTAGCCTTTAGTTTTTCTCTTTCCGCTTTAAAGATGTCACAATGTAACAAGATATGTTCCACATCTTCTTTTACTCCACAGTTCCCACACTTGTCACTGTCACTTTTCCCCATGACATACAGAGTACCATTCAAACTTTGTGATTTATTCTGAGTCTAGCGATCGTGATTTCCTCCCTTCTGTTTCTTTCTTTATAAATATGAATTGTAATTGTCTTTTGCACTTGATGATACTCTTTGCCTTTCTGGTCTTTCTCCCACCTTTTCTGCCAGATCTCCATCCCTTTTTTCTTAATTACTGCTTTTCCTTCTCCTTTTCCAAGTTGAACTGGTAATGTGATTTCCTTTTGTAGTGCACTTTTTTCTAATTTATCAGCACACTCGTTCCCTTTCACCCCCTCATGTGCAGGCACCCAGCAGAACTGCAGATC